CCCCCCCCCCCCCCCCCCCCCGCCGCCGCCGCCGCCGCCGCTCGCCCGCAGATATCCAACCGCAACCGGCGTCGCAACAAGGAGAAGAAAAAGCTGCGCGAGACGGCTGCAGACGCCACCTCCAACAGCCCGTCGCGAACGAAGCAGCAACAGCCGCAGCCCGGAGCCGGCCAACGTGCAGGCACTGACACAGCAGCGGCGGCAGCGGGTGGTTCCGCGGCAAGCACTGCCGACGCGGAGGGAGGCGCGTCAGCGACAGGCCCTGCCGCGAACTATTTCTCAGGGAGAAAACGGCAAAAGGGAGACTTGGGTGCTGGTGGGCAACAAGGCTTGGGACTGCTTGCGGACAGGGGGCGAGGGGCGGGGGATGGACGCGGCGGTGCGGATGACACCATGGAATTTATGGAGGTGCGGAGGGGGAAAAAAACTATAATGCGGTCTAGGGCGGAGCGTCGTTACTGGTGCCCTGGAGTGCCCACGTGGTTACGGGGTTAGCGTAGCACTTAGTTTGCGGGCACCGGTGATGGTGAACCGCAACCAATGTAGCCTACGGGAGTTATTGTCAATCATATCTCCACCGAAATTTTTCACTCTCATTTCGAAGAGTTGTAAAGACCGGACTGAGGTTTCGTGTAGGATTGTGTGTTCCTGCTCCATCGGGAATCCAGCGATACTCCGACTGCTTTGGTTTGTTTGGCAGAGCAACGGTAGTCATGACAACTGAGAAGAGCCGCTACAGAGCGTGTCGGAGATGTTTCTATCGTGCGAGCTCGACGTCTACGTCGGCCGTGCGAGCCTGTTAGGCACGCTTGCAACATTTTCGCAATCGATGTTCTCATCCTCTCTCTGACCCATCGTCGGCGCGCCGCCGCCTTTTGGTGGAATCGATCCAACAGAATCTGGGCTGGCTTAGCCACGAACAGCGCGAGGCCATGGGCCAGCAGCAAGGCACCCCCGCCGCGGCTGCCGCCGCGGGCGGTGGCGAGAGCGGCGCCAACACCGCCCCCCAACTCGAGCCGCCATCGGGCGCTGGCGGCGCTGGAAGTTCGGTCACAGAAGGCCTCGGTGGCGGGGAGCAAGCGGACGGCTACTCGCGCGCACGCCCCCGTGGCGGCGGTGGCGGTAGGCCCGGGGTGCCCGGCGGGGTAGGTAGCGGTGGTCGTGGCGGGCAGGGGCCGACCGGAAGGGTAGGCGGCAGCGGCGGCGCGGGGGGGGTGGGACGAGGGAAGGGAGCGACGCCAAGCAAAAGAGATAGGGACGGGGGACGCGGCGGCGGCGGCGGCGGCGCAGACGGAGGCGGTGGCGGTGGGGGGCGGGGAGCGGGGGCCCAGCAGCCCGGGTTCCGAGGGTATGACTTCAGTCAAGCCCCGCCGTCGATGGGTGCATTCCACCGTGATGGCAGTGGCGGCACGCGTGGTGGTGCGGGTGGGGGGTTCAACCCGTTCCTTGCGGCCGGAGCGCCTGGCGCTGGGCCGGCAGCAACGGGTGGAGGGCGCGGAGGTGTTGCGGGCGGGCCCACGGGTTCTGCGGTGAGTCTGGACTGTGTGGATTGATCATGAACATTCTTGTCGAATCTACATTTTTTGTATCAAGATGGAACACTACTACGCTACGCTGTTTACCCCCAGTGTCCCTCCACCAAATTGAATGAAACCCAGTGCGGCGCAACCACCTTTGCCCCCTTAAAGTAGCCCCGCTGCTGAATCTCACCCGAAAGTCACGAACGCGTCCTCGCGATGACACCGTCAACAAACGTTTGGCAGCCACAAGACTGACTTCTCGCCTCCCTTGCGCCACTGCCGTGCCAGGCCTACGGCGGGGGGCGTCAGCAGCAGCAACAGCAACAGCACTGGAGGCCCAGGCCGGACACCGAAAAGGCCAAGAGCATGACGTACGGGACGCAGTCGATGCAGGGTGTGGGACAGGGGCGAGGAGGGGGCGGGGGGAACGGACCTAGGAGAGGACGCTGAGACGGGGATAGTCGTGATGACTCTCTCGAAAGGGCGTCGCCCCCCTCACGAAGCAGTGACGCTCGGACCAACCGCTTCGCTTGGACGAAATACAACTTTTGGTGCGGAGCATGTAATCTCTTGCAGGAAGGACATGTCTGTAGGAGATGGATGTGTTGGGGCTCGCAACATTCAGGAGGGGGAGCATGTTGTTAGGTGTTACGTGCCCGTAAATTTCGCGTTGCTTCTGATTGGTCAATATTCCTTGGGTGGTTAGTGACGTTCGCCAGGATCGAGACGTCGCGTATTGATCGAGGAGGCTCGACCCGTTTCTCTCCCTGCCTCATCACGGTACAGCCGTCATCCTCACCACAACGATAGCACAAGGGTGCGGGAAAACATACTTCCAAGAACTGGCGTGTGGGTTTGGAGATTGGATGCTTGTACGTACAAGGGTTTGTCAAAGAGAGAGAACGAGAGGCAGACTGGCAGAGACGGAGAGAAGGATAGCACGCCATGCAAAACGGGGTGACTGAAAACTAACATTTCGGCGCAATGATGCATCTCCTATCTCCTACTTCCTTGAATTTATATTTGTTGCGGAAATCCTTCAGCATGGTTGCTTGACGAGGACGGGGGATCTCCGCGAGCGACCAACTGTCTGTGCAGCTCGCTTACGCACGGGCATGACTGCTGTGCAGCTTGATCGATGCGTGCAAACAAAGAAGAAGTGCCAGGTGCAAGCAAAAGTCCAGCACCACCAAAGGCAGCATGTGGTTGAAAGGACGGTCGGATGTAGTCTATACTCAAGTGATTTTGGCCTGCGGTGCACAGAGAGCAGCTGACGACTGGGCGGACAGTTGAACTGCTGGCCTATGGTGCACCGAGAGGAATCAAAACGTTCCTCCTCCGCCGTGTGTACTTTGCGACGGGAACTTTTGTCCCGCGCGGCATTAGCAACAACTGCACCAAATAGGGCAATACGGCATAATATTAAAAATAGAGTAAACTTGCCGCAACGGGGGCACCACACAGACATTCAACCGCATGATCGTTTGCCGTGCGCATCAGTATAATGTGACATACCAATCCCTTAGGTCTTGCCGTCTTGGTTCTTTACGTGCGGAGACGTCCGATCCGAGGTCGCACACAAGGTAGTTTTTGGCCGACTTGCACGTTTGGTGTTTGGTGTCCAAGGGCGTATGCCATGTTTTATTATTTCATCAGTATGACCCAACGAATCCATCTATATCTAAGAAACGAGTCGAAGATACTTGTAGATTAGCAAAGGATCCATAGTGCCATAGCGTCAGCGAAAGTTCTGTTTTTCCACGATTTCCCGAGCCGTGTTTATTTGTTTATGTTCGGTGTCGGTTCCGAACCGTTCTTCAACCCGAAGTCCGTTCTTCCCGTTTCCCGTTCCTCAAACCCAATCTAAGAATCTCTATTATATGTCTCGCCGCACCAAGCACTGCCGCTGCGCATGCCCACTCTACTGCCCGCCTACTCCAACAGTCTACCAGCAGCAACGCAACACCACGCGTAAGATTGTAATAGAGGATATCGTCACCCTCTTACATTAACACCGAGAACGCAAGCGGCAAGCGCGAGAAGATGGCACGAACTCTGCGCACCGTTCCAGCGAAGATTGATGTAAACTTCCTGCTCTCGGTACACATCCTGCTCTCGGCTAAACACGAGTCCTCTCTCCACGCTGCGGCAGCGCGGGGAGCAGAGGAGGCCTCCAAGGACCTCAGGGCTTCTGGGGCAGACCCGAATCTGGGCGATCGGAGCAATAATAGTCCGCTCCACGTCGCTGCCGAAGCTGGGCATCACGGAGCTTTAGGCAGCCTTCTTCTGAAAGGGGCCGACATAAACGCGACGAACGATCTCCAGGAGACTCCTCTCCACCTCGCTGCTTCCAAGGGCCATACGCTGTGCATCTCTGAGCTTTTGCTAGGCGGCGCAGACAAGGACGTGGTCGATGATAAAGATCAAACACCACTGTTTCACGCTGGGCACTCTGAGGAGGCGTGTCCCCCCGGCCGTGCCGAGGGTGTTCTTCCTCTCCGGAGGTCAGTCGGAAGAGGACGCTACGGTCAAACTCGACCTCATCAACCGCACGGCGGCGGCGAGGACGATGGGGGGGGGGGTGTACTCATAGTCGTGCATGCCGTAGTCGTTGGACCATTGACCTCGCATCCCTACAAAGCCGGGACGGAGCACGCCGGGTTCTCACCGGACCAGGCTCTCACATCACCAAGCGCGAAGCGCCGTGAGGTATTTGGCGAGTCGCATGAAGGGTGAGCTGCATCCTGCTAAGGGTGTTCGGCATCTTGTGCTTACTTCCTTGCGTACGGATGACAGCTACGTATGACTTACTTTATTTTCTGGTGCTTTCACTTCCAGAGACAGTTGTAAGCACTTTGTAACTGCCTCGAGGATGCTTGACCAATATTAACACAACGTGGTGCGATCATCCCCCTTGCGCGGAGTGAGGGTTCTCGACCCCGCACAACATGATCTACTCGACCACCATTATGGTTACCGCCAAAAAAAGAAGGAGGTAAAACAAAACAAAACGGTAACCTGGTTGCCGAGTTCACGAAGTGAATTGGCTTGTTTTACAACGTCGTTGCCAAGCGACGAAAACCCAATCCCGATGGCAAACACCGAGGGGGGGGGTTGG